GTGCCAAAAAGTGACCAACGGAGAAAAAGATGAAAAGTGAATAATGTCGAAAAATAAAAAATGTGGAAATGACGCGATCCCTTAAGGAAGTTGTCAATCCAAAGGAAAGAGTCTTATAAACAATTTTCGAGCACTTGAGATGACACTAAGTGATAAGAAACCAAACTCAGAAAGGAAAAGGTAACGGAAAAAATTTATCCTTAAAATTTGTGGAAAAAAGAAAGGAAGAAAAATGATCGGGTCTTTACAAATCAATTAATCATCCTACACTCTTATAAATCTCACTAAGACCTAAATCTACAGTAATGGAGGAAAAAAAGAAATTAATCATAATTAAATCCTAATCCAAAAATTCAAAAATTAACCAATAGGCCAGTGGTACCAAGCCTTTATTTCTCAAAGAGAGGTCAAGGGTTCGAGCCTCTGTGGAAGTATGTGTGTGTGAGTGCCCAACTAGGAAAAAAAAAAAAAAAAAAAAAAAAGCCGAATCCAAAAATTCAGGGTATTACATTTGTCATCCCAAGTCAGCATCAAGCCCATAAGTTAAGAAATTTACTCATTATATTTTATTTTACCATATATGCAAATATACCACTTTGTACATTATATTTAGGAAAAATTAGATTTCAAAAACCGTTGAAGATAATTAATAAATTTTCAAGTAATGGATAATATTAAGATAAATCACACCAATACTAAGAAAATCATCCATTGAAAGTTCAATTCTAACAAAAACCACTCATGGCTATTATCAATTGATTAGCTCATGGTTCTGAGTCAAAATTCCATTCCACGGAAATGAGACATAAGACAATGATTTTGGTTCTAGGTTTAATTTGTCCTCGTTAGAGAGTCATGCACAATTTTTTATTTTATGCAATTCTTTGTGTTTTCTTAAACTGAAATTTGTTAACTTAAAAATAAATAATAAATAAAAACTGTATGTAATAAAATCCAAACAAACATAGGTCACATCAAAGATTGATGATTTAATATAAAACCTAAATAGAAGATAATCATCACAGTTTAAACCATTTGAAGATAATATGCAAAAATAAATATATACACACACCTTTTATACATATGCTAAGTATTGTATAATTAGAAAAATTCACAAACCCTGATCCTATGTTCAAGCAAAGACATCATTGCTCCATTTAAAGGTGAAACTCTGAGAAGGGTAATTTGGGATATAAATCACAATGATCGCTTCTTTGCAATTAAGTTTTACGTTTTAAGTTGAGTCACTATATATTCATCTTCTTTTTACTTTTTTTTTTTAAATTTATGGTAATTTTACATCAAATTTATTTAGGATTGGTCACTAAAATCTAATTTTTCCTATATATTAATATATATTATACGAAAGCTGTATGTATAAATTAAAAACTTGGGAAATACGAATTTAACTTAACCGGCCAAGTCATTTTTTTACCCCTTCACTGGACCATTTCTGAGAGAGTAACTAAAGAAGATTTTTTTGTTCATTGATAACCATATAATCTAAATTCACTAGGATCATTTAATAATTCCTCACATCACTAACCAAAAATACTTTATATTTAAATGGCATGAAAGGTGAAACATAATATAACCAATCAATGAAATTATATTAGATACTATTTTAAAAACCCTTTTATATTAATTATTATTTTTTAATAATAAATTAATTTAAATAATAATAATTAAGAAAATAAAAAACTCATAATAATTAGATAATTAAAAGAGTTTTTATAAAAGGGGCGTCGAAGAAAAAATTTTGTTGTACAAGTTGTTGAAAAAAGGGGCGTCAACCAGAAAGGGGTCTTAGGCAGGGGTGTCCTCTGTCTCCACTTTTGGTTACTTTGGTTACTATTTATTTTTCTGGTATGATGGATTTGGAAGTTTAGAAAGGTAAGGTGGTGCCTTCTTAAGCTGCTTTACAGGCTGGTTTACCTATTACTCATCAATTTTTTGCAGATGATCTGTTACTTGTGATTAGAGCAAATATGGGGAGTGTTTTAACTTTGAAAAAGTTGCTGACTCAATTCGAAAATACTACTGGTCTAGCTGTGAACAAAGATAAATCTGAAGTTTATCTTACTAGATCAGTTAGAAGAAAGAATTCCATTATCAAGTCCTTGGGTTATAAGGTAGGAAATTTACCTTTCACTTATTTAGGATTACCTATATCTGATAAAATGCTGAGGAGAGCTGATTGTTTAAGTCTGGTAGATAAAATTATTTCATTACTTCAAGATGGAATGGTCTACATTTGTCTATGGAAGGTAGGGTGGAACTTAGTAGAGCTGTTATTATCCCAATGGTTCAGTACTGGACATCAGTTTATACTCTTCCTATTGTTGTCTCTAGTTGCATTGAAAGAAGAATGAGGAACTTTGTGTGGGGTCATGTTGAAAATTCTAAAAAGATGCATGGTATGAGATGGAAAAAGATTATTGCTACCAAAGAGGAAGGGGGTTTGGGTTTGAGAATAATCACAGATATTGACATTGCTGGGAAAATCAGTCTTGCTTGGGACTTTTTATTGTCTAAGGATAGGCTGTGGGTGGCATGGTTTTCACATTGCTATTTGAAAAAGGCTTCTTACTGGAATATGATTCCTAAATTTGCTTCTTCAGCTATCTGGAGGAGTATTATTGACGTTAAAGAGATTCTAAAGGTCAATTGCAAATACATTTTTGGAATTAGGTAGAATGTTAAAGTATTTATGGATCCTTGGTGAGAAGGTAGGTTCTTGAGAGAACTTTTTAACCATAGGATTCTTGGGTACTTGAGTCGTGATAAGAAGATTAGTATGTGTGATTTCATTACAAATGGTCAATGGGATGATGACAAACTGAGCAACACTTCACAAGAGATGATACTGCTGTTTAAAAATCAGTTGATAACAAGTGGGGTGGATCAGATTAAATGGATTCAACCGTTTTGTTTTAAGGTTGCATGGGAAGCTACTAGAGTGAAATTGGAGGATGTGATTTGGGCTGGTTTATGTTGGAGTAGGGGGAGGCCAAAATGACCGATTCTTTCTGTTTTGGTTATGCAAAAAACAATTATAACTCAGACTTTTTTTGCAGTAAAGAGGTTTTAATTTAGCATCAAGATGTTATCTTTGCTATAAAGATGAAGAAACTTTGGATCATTTGTTCTATAATTGTGATTATACTTGGAAAGTATGGTGTTTTTTGGCTGAAATATGTGGATGGAATTTGCAAAAGGGGCTTAGGAATTCACAAATTAGCAACTCATTTTATTCAAGTTTAGCAACGAAAGGATTTTAAGAAGATGGCTAGAGTTATGTTTGCTACAATATTGTATTTCACTTGGTGGGAAAGGAATAATCGTTTACATGATAAGCAAGAAAGAGTGGCTAAGGAGCTAGCTAAAAGTATATTATGGGAGGTTCTTGATGTGTTAGAGGTTAACCTTTAGGACATTTTGTAATTTTCTGTTGCTTTTAGTCTAGTTTTTTATGTCCTTTTTTTTTTTAGGACTTGGTTTGTTTACCTTATGAGGACATGTCCTCATATGTTTCTATGTACTATTTTGTTTTATATATATATTCCTTTCATTTAGGAAAAAAAAAAGGCGTCTAGCATTGTACTATTGAAAAAATTCAAAAGATAGAGGCTATTTAAATTTTTAATATTTTCTTATATATTAAAAAAAAAAAACGTTTAATGAAAACACTTTAATAAACTTTCAATGAAAGGATAAACCTTATTACTTTCATTTTGTTTACAAAAAAATGTATTTAAATTCTCAATACTGTGAAAGTGGTTAGTAACCTAAGTCACACAATCCTTTTCAATAGGTGTCGCTCTCACACTTCCACTCTCATGGTTCACATGCACATGCTTGCTCAAATTCTCACTGCTTATGACTTGATTCTGCCACTCCCGCTTCATGTGGCGTTCATAACTATTGAAAAATGCAAATGAAAAATTCAAAAAGTGCAAACTATTTAATTTTTTATTAAATATTTAAAATATTAATTGATAAAATATATAAACATCACTAAATTAGAAGGAAAAGATATACTTACTATTATTTTAGGGTAAATTACACTCAGACTCCCTGAGGTTAGGTCATTTTTCAGTTAGATTAGCATTCCGGTTTTAGATTTCACTTATATTTGAATTAGTGGTTTAACATTTCATTTACACCCCAAATGTCAAATTTTGGTGGGGCCATAGTACTTTTGAGGTGTTAAATGACTATCCTACCCTTTGACCTCCTGATTTTGTGACCAAAATTCCCTAACATACACCTTCCTTTTTTTCCTCCTCATACCATTATCATCCCGAATTCACCCTAGACAAAACCACCACACCACTCCTCAAAATTACACACATATATATCTATATAGATATTTAAAACAGCCAAACATATATATATATATATATATATATATATACAAATATATATCTATATATATATGTATAGATACATACACACATATATGTATATAGAATCATAGATATATACACACATACAAAACAGACAAGGGAGCCAGTCGGCCAAATCGATGATGGAGGTTTGGGTTGTGGATTAGATGTGGACACCATGAGGCAGCCGACGAGGTGTAAACGACAACATTTAACTCACCGACCTCCCAACCCTCTCTGATTTGCCTCGATCTCAAAACCCAACACAACTGTTGCCGCTCTATCACCGAGAAGAAGCATAGTGCCAGAAAGACCCAAATCTTATCCATCATCGCTCTATCGCCCGACATTGTCTCTATTGCCACCGACAAGAAAATAAATTGGTACTAATTCTGTAATGACCCTGGATTTTTTCAACCTAGTATGTACTGTTATGAACCGAAAGTTGACCCGATAACGGATTCGAAATGCGGAAGCAAAAGATAAATCCAAAGTCTATAGAGATGCAAACCATCCCCAAGACACCAATGTGACTGTAACGCCCCGAATTTTTTCTAAATAAAATCCTCGATTTCATTAAATCAAAATACTTTATAAAAGACACCCAGGATCTCAAAAGAAATAAAATACCCTTTATTGATACAAAATCAATCAAATTTCCTCAAATAAATAAGACAATATCTCAAATTAATTAAATTGATACTAAATCAATTTCCTAAAAATCTCTAAAAAAAATAATTTTATTCCTCAACTCCAACTCTTCCACCTAAGCCCGCAACTATGAATCCAAGTTCATCCTCGGTACCTGAAACTGTAGGGGGGTGAGACAGTAGGAAAAACCATAACAAGGATTTCAAAGAGTTTCATGATAAATTTGCTTTACAAAAATATATATATGCTTTTAAACAAAATACATATATGCAATTTTAGCAAAATAACAATTAACAAAATTTTTGAAATAAAATCATCCAAGCCATTCAAGGTATGATGATCCCTACACTGTAAAACCATTATTCCACACTAGATCATTAAATTCATCAAGTTTTGCCTTCTCTGAGACTCTCGACTTCCTCACTGTATTTCTCATTCTCTAATTTTCTATCTCTACTTTCTTTCAGTTAATACCATCTTTGCACAAACATTCTATTTATAATGCAATTCCACCGACACTTGAACAAAAATCTACCACCAAAAATCAAATCAAATATCTAAAGTCTAACATAATAATCACAATTGACCCGCCACCCATGCTTCCTGTACTTTACTTATCCTTATATCTTCATTCATTTAATATTTTAACAATTGCAATCTCATCCCAAAAAGAAAACACCACGTGTAAAATTAAAGGCCAAGCACAATTCAAGGCCAAATACAATGAACCCAAAAAAGTGGACCCGCCACCACATATAGTTGCTTTCTATACATCAGTTTAACAAACAAAAATCTATCTCCATAATAAGTGCAAAACTAATTGGGCCAAGAATTTAACTAATGGGACCCACAGCTTTATCACAATTTCCTTACTCTTCTCACCATTTCGCTGGTAGCATCCATGTTGCCCATGCAAGGTACTAAATATATATATATATATCATTATATATACAAAGGTAACCAAATAAATCAATTTGCTTTCTTCCTTTCACCAAATCAAGAAACATAAATATATATACAATGTATACAATTGTAATAAACTCAACTCAACCCATCAAATAAGTGAAACCCACCAATTATCAATTTTTTTCTTCTTCTTTTATCCCTTCTGCTGCCTCTCCAACATCATTTCAGCACTGCTCCCTTTTGATTCAATCTCCATCAAACTTAATATATATATATCACACATATATATATACAAGTGCATGCCTAATAAATCAAACTCAATAAATATTTAAATTGAGTAATTCTCCAAAATAAAAATTAATTATCAATTATGACAATTTTAAAAAAAAAATCATGAAATAAAATATAATTTCAACTCTTAAAAATCCGAGTTGTCACATTCTCCACCACTTAAAAAGAATTTCGCCCCAAAATTCAGATCCAACAGACTTTACATACCCGAAAACATCAAAAGTGGTAAAATAAAATCCTAAAATCCTTACCCCAGGAGATGTGAAATTCAGTGACATGGAAAAAGATTGTGGTAGCTGACAGTGCTAGTTACCTGCCCACACACTCTGTAGCCGTTGTGGTAACTAGATGATGCCGTCACCCATCCACAAAATAAAACCGATAGTGATCTAGGGACACCTGCCCCTAATCACTAATAGTAATTATCCTAATAACTGTCAGTGAACGACATCCGGACGCACACACCCGGCTACAAGTGGTAGCTAGTCAATACTAAACACTCGCCCACACACACCGGACAACATCATCACTAAACTCACACTTCCACACCCGGCTACAAGTGGTAGCTAGTCAATACTAAACACTCGCCCACACACACCGGACAACATCATCACTAAACTCACACTTCCGGCTAGGTACAGGCTCTAATACCATTCTGTAACGCCCCGAATTTTTTCTAAATAAAATCCTCGATTTCATTAAATCAAAATACTTCATAAAAGACACCCAGGATCTCAAACAAAATAAAATACATTTTATTGATACAAAATCAATCAAATTTCCTCAAATAAATAAGACAACATCTCAAATTAATTAAATTGATGCTAAATCAATTTCCTAAAAATCTCTAAAAAAAATAATTTAATTCCTCAACTCGAACTCTTCCACCTAAGCCCGCAACTATGAATCCAAGTTCATCCTCGGTACCTGAAACTGTAGGGGGTGAAACAGTAGGAAAAACCATAATAAGGATTTCAAAGAGTTTCATGATAAATTTGCTTTACAAAAATATATATATGCTTTTAAACAAAATACATATATGCAATTTTAGCAAAATAACAATTAACAAAATTTTTGAAATAAAATTATCCAAGCCATTCAAGGTATGATGATCCCTACACTGTAAAACCATTATTCCACACTGGATCATCAAATTCATCAAGTTTTGCCTTCTCTGAGACTCTCGACTTCCTCACTATATTTCTCATTCTCTAATTTTCTATCTCTGCTTTCTTTCAGTTAATACCATATGTGCACAAACACTCTATTTATAATGCAATTCCACCGACACTTGAACAAAAATCTACCACCAAAAATCAAATCAAATATCTAAAGTCCAACATAATAATCACAATTGACCCGCCACCCATGCTTCCTGTACTTTACTTATCCTTATATCTTCATTCATTTAATATTTTAACAATTGCAATCTCATCCCAAAAAGAAAACACCACGTGTAAAATTGAAGGCCAAGCACAATTCAAGGCCAAATACAATGAACCCAAAAAAATGGACCCGCCACCACATATAGTTGCTTTCTATACATCAGTTTAACAAACAAAAATCTATCTCCATAATAAGTGCAAAATTAATTGGGCCAAGAATTTAACTAATGGGACCCACAACTTTATCATAATTTCCTTACTCTTCTCACCATTTCGCTGGCAGCATCCATGTTGCCCATACAAGGTACTAAATATATGTATATATCATTATATATACACAGGTAACTAAATAAATAAATTTGCTTTCTTCATTTCTAATTCGGTCAGGTGCCCTTTCACCAGATCGAGAAACATAAATATATATACAATGTATACAATTGTAATAAACTCAACTCAACCCATCAAATAAGTGAAACCTGCTAATTATCAATTTTTTTTCTTCTTCTTTTATCCCTTCGGCTGTCTCTCCAACATCATTTCGGCACTGCTCCCTTTTGATTCAATATCCATCAAATTTAATATATATATATCACACATATATATATACAAGTGCATACCTAATAAATCAAACTCAATAAATATTTAAATTGAGTAATTCTCCAAAATAAAAATTAAATTATCAATTATAACAATTTAAAAAAAATCATGAAATAAAATATAATTTCAACTCTTAAAAATCCGGATTGTCACAGTAACCTTCCATGAAGTCACGGAGCTCGAGGAAATAACCGGGAGCGAAAACTAACATAAAAAGGGTCAAATGGTACCCTATGGCACCAATGACAACAAAAGGGACAAAATCTAGTTCAAACTAAACCAAGAACACCACTAAATGGCTTACACAAGATTAACAAAATTTAGTAGGAAGGAACGAAGCGATAAAGGCCTGAAGAAACAATCAACCAAACAAAACCTACAAGGCAGCACCATTTTGGTCGACCGAAATGGAGCTTTGGTCTGCCGAAATGAGCTAGGAAAAAGAAGGAAAAGAGCCTTCATTTTGGTCAACCGAAATAACAAACCGATCGACCGGTTTGTGACTCGAAACTGTAAAAGGCTATTGGAATTGGACTTTTACTGTTCAATTGAAATTCAAAGGCCATCAGTCGACTGAAACAAGCTACGAATCGACCAAAACAGGTTGAAAATGCAAAAATGAACCTGTTATGCACCAAAAATGAAAAAAAGTCCCTAAGGCTCAATCGGATCCCCCATTGCATGATCAAATGGAATTGTATGCAAGTGTGTGATGATGTGAACATACACGCAAGTGTAAAATAATATTTTAAACATGTTAAAATGGCCTATGGTCTTATTACAATTCATTTACAACATTTGACATGTCAAACCTCCAAGTTAGAAAAATTACATTTCATAGGCAAAACTTAAACATGCTAACACTTGCATGTGAACATGAATGCTTCTAAAGAAACTTTCATTCTGCAATTCACCCAAAGCAAGTACAAATCTCCAATCTTGTATCCTGTACCTGAAATATGCCCTAGTAACTTTGGGGTGAGCAACATAAAGCTACTTGTAGGAAATGAGTATGCATCGACCTAACATTTTACTTGTTTGCATGATTTAAACATCGTGGTTCATTCCACCTAACATTTATGTCAAAGGTGAGACTCAGGGAACATCCTAAGCTACCTAAGATCATTTCTAGCATAAAACACATCATTCATGCAATTGAATCAACATAGGAGCACGCTATACAAAGCGACAAAATATAGATTCTCAAAGTCATCAACTTAAAATCTAAAATATGTAAAGAACTAAATATAACCATTTAGCATAATTGGAATTTCTAGTACCACACGTCAGGACATAGATTCTCAAAGTAATCAACTTGAAATCTAAAAGTGTGCAAACGACTAAAGTGGGTCATGCCACCTAACGTCTATGTTCCAAATGAATCTATAGGATCATTCCTAAGTCACATTTGAACAATATAGCATAGATGTACTTAGCAACATCAAAATTTATAATTATTCATTAAAAATCATAAAACATTAATGTACTTAACAACATTAAAGAATGCTATGATTCATTCAAAATCATAATGCATAAATGTACTTAACAACATTAAATTGCCAATAACCAAAACCATAAGTCACAATTAAGCATTGGTGGTCAACTTGGAATTGAATGCGAAAACAAATAGTGGAAGACTTGGACATCACGTCTCAGACTAAACTAAGAACAAAATGGTTATTCCGGGCATTAACCCGCTGGAAAAACCACCCTCGTGCGCACTATATCAATGGGGAGAACTCATACCTCCCGCACTAGAGCCAAACTCTAGCCATATCACAGTAACAATGTTCCAAGACTCCAAAATAAATAAGTTAACAACTTATATACGAAACATATATATACAGCACGAAACTACATTCCATGCACAAGTAGGTTGAAACCACAATACATGCTCTAAATCTACAACTACTATAGGATGACAATGTCGAATCTTCAGATCGCGATTCGTTACGCGCTATAATAACATCATATGTCGAATCTTCAGTGTGTGATTCGTTATACGCTATCACAATATTTTTCAACATTGAAATATAAACTCATGCATCCATTACAAGTCTAAAATCATGCTTCAAACATATTATCAATGTCAAATACATGATTTAATCAATAATGCAATAGAAACAGAAATTAATCAAATAACTAATTAATTTCTCTAGGTTTCAAATCCCAATCAAATGGTCCCTAATTAATACATATTATACAACATAACTTAATCATTACATATATCAATTCAAAAACTTGATTAGGCCATTTGAACAACAAAATGGAATTTAATCAAATCATGAGAATCAAATCTCTAAATTGTAAAACAACATCAAATGGTCCCAAATTAACATATGCTAACATACAAGCTCTAGTCATCACAAATATCAAGTTAAAAACTTAATTAGGCCAATGGAACCATTAAATGGATTTTAATTAATCATTTAGATTTTCATACTCATCTAATTTCTCTCAAATTAAAGTATGTTAAAGGACATGCCAAGACTTAATTTAAAAGAACATCACAAGTTCATTTCATGCAAGGTACGGCCATGGAATTTAATCTTTCACAAAAGATAAATATTAAATAAAAAGTACAATTCTTATTCAAATAATTCCAATTTAATATATGTTAACAAACATATTAAAACAAAATTAATCATCATGCCACAACTTAATTCTAAACTATATAAATCCTTGAAAACTAAATCTTATACAAGAAATAAATAATACTAATTTTTCTAGATTTGATACAAAGCATGCAAATAAGTTGTATAATCATGGAGAACACTCTATACAACGCATATAAAATCCTAAAACATCCCTTACCTCAATTTGAGATGAAAATCTCAAAAGCCACCAAAATGAAACGGCTCCGAATCCGATGATACTTCGGGGTTTTGTCGAGGACAACGCCGTGAACATTAACCCCAAGGAAGCCCCATCAAATACACAACTTGACTTCAAACCCGAACTCAAGAAATGGCCAAAATGGGATTCCAATAGGTGGAATCGAAGGCCTAGCCAAGGCAAACACAAAACACTAAGGCACTACGACGTTTCATTGAAGGGAAGAAGCTCAAAAGAGGAGAGAGAAGATGGCAGCCCTTGGCTGCCATGGACTCCGGCCAAGAGAGGGGAGAGAGAGTGAGAAATCTAATTTTTCACTTAAAGGTCCCCTATTTATAGAAAATCTCAAAAAGTGCCCCGATCGGGCTCCGCCGGGTCCGGAAAAGTGAAATTCGCACAGACGCGCTCAAACGGAAAAACTCCATAAACAAAAAAGATTTGAAATGAGAAAATATGAACAATGGAAGAAACGACGTTGAAAATTGAGTTCCGTGCAAGAAGATATGCCCTGAACAAATTCGGCGATAACTAGGGCAGAAACTCTGAAATTGGAGAAAAACTACCAGAAGGGAATTCTAAGAGTACATGACTTGATGAAAAGTAAAAATAAACCCCGTACAAGAATCCAGGCTCAAAACAAGGCATTTTGTAATAACTTTCAGTAATTGCACAATGGCCACTCTAAAAAGTGAAAACTGCACTAATGGCCCAGAATGAAAATATCTTCCAAAAATATTTTCTTAAAAACCCCTGAAATAAAATATCTTCAAAATATATTTACAAAAAACACCCCAAGAGAAGAAAAAGATTCTGAAAAACTATGCATTCATGCCCCTATGGACACCGGGAGCAACTATAGTACTTTACCACAAAAGTAAAGATACGTATTTCGTGGAAACCACCTAGAATGAAGATACGTGAAGTAAAAAACCAACTCCGAACACAAGAAGTGAGGCTATGCCAACAAAGTGACAAATAGGGAAAAGACGAAATAGGGAAGAGGACGAAATAGGGAAAAAGACAAAAAGTGAATAATGTCAAAAAATGAAAAAATGTGGAATTGACTCAGTGCTCAAAGGAAGTTGTCAATCCAAAGAAAAGAGTCTCAGAACTCACTCCAGAGCACTCAAGACGACACTAAACGACGAGGAACTGAACCCAGGAAGGAAAAAAATCAACGAAAAAAAAATATCCGTGAAAATCTGTGAAAAAGAAATGAAGAAAAAAGACCGAGTCATTATAAATTCTGCTACAGGAAGTTTGTTTGCATTTTCTGTTGTGAAAGAGGAAGCCACCAAGTTGGGTACTGTTATCGGATTGACCTTGGGACAACTTATATCTTTCTGATGTGAAAATGAATATAGCTTACAATTTTTGAAAATGACTTAATTTTGGGAAAAATTAAAATTGTTTTCATGTTAAAATTCTAATCAACAACAAATGCCGAATTAAACAATTTCATCTCCAAACAAATTGATTGTTGAATTTCATAGTTTTCACAATCTATGATTCATAAAAAAGAAAACCTCTTCTCAAGTCTGACCTAGATTAATACACCATTGTGGCATAATTCTATCAATTAGAAAGCAAAAGATCATAAAACATTCACTTTCTTTAATTTTTCGGAGTTCTCTCAGCAACCAACCAGAGGGTTAGGACTGTTATGCATCTAAAACTATTTATATCCAGTAATTATATCATAAACAAAGATATGCTAACTTCATCGGAATGGGAGAGCAACGTAGGCGGGCAGAGACGATAGTGTAGAGGAGACCTGAGAAGACGCC